TGTGATCTTTGTAAGTTGATCAGACTAGCAAGCTAAAGTTACAGTTTTTTTTAACCTAAGATAATGAGTTTGAACTACTAATAATTGATTTTTTTTAACAATTCTTATTATATAAATGCAAACATGAAAAGTTGAACATTGATCATGTCACAAGATTACTGGCATCAAATTAAGGATTTGTTTGAGACGACTTTCTTACTGCTTCTTAAATCAGTTTTCTAGTAAAAAAATTATTTTTTGTACTAAAAAGCTAGTTTAAGAAATAGTAAGAAAGCCATCCCAAACGAAGTCTAAGATTTCGTTTGGGACGGTTTTCTCACTGCTTCTTAAAACAGCTTTCTAGTACAAAAGTTTTCATATTTAAACTAGAAAGCCATTTTAAGAAGCAGTAAGAAAGTCGTCCCAAACGAAGCCTAAGACTTATTTGAAGCAAACAAACAGGCTGTTGAGCATTTTTAAATCATTCACAGCGTATAAGAAAACATACTGTTTCATAAAGGTTTCTCCTTCTATAGAACATGAAACTATGACTTTCTCTGAAGATGTGATTTAGCTTTTAAGAGAGCTTTTGCCACTTCCTCATCTGCTGGAAATTCCCTCGTCAAAATCTGTTAATCTTGTGCTGATGCCTCCCACTTCTCAAGCTTTAATAAGCAAAACAAATAATTCAATAAATAAGCATTCTTTCTTGTATGAAATGCTAAGTAGTAAAGATCACTCACCTTAGCAAAGCAATCAGCTCTTCGAAGTCTAGCCTTAGCATAGGAAGGTTTCAAATTAAGAACCGTATTGCAATCTTCAATTGCTTTCTCCCATTGTCCAAGTTTGGAATGACAGGCAGCTCGGTTGCAGAGAAGAATGGCATTCAAGGGATCATGATGAAGCCCTTCTCCATAAGCAGTGCATGCTTCTGAATACTTTGAAAACTTGAAGAACTCATTGCCTTTGTTTCGAGCTGATGCGACGGCTTTTACTCTCCTAACTACAGCACTGATTTCTCTGTTGTTCTGCTTTTTATCAATCCTTTCCACTAATGCAACCGCTTCATTGAACCTATAAAAAACCATTTTACTAAGCCTTGAACTGTGTTATCATTGAATGTTATTTAAGAACTGACCTTCCTGAAGCTAAATCAACCTCTGCTTGGATCATGAGGATGTATCCATTCACTGCTGAACCAAAGAAATTGATGATTGTATCAGTGTCAAACTTGGGTGCATTCTTAAGAACTGAGTCAGCCTCTTCATGCCTGCCAAGTCTTAGAAGCGCTTCTTCTTGTAATGCAAACACCTTAGAAAGCAAATCAAAGTAATAGAGTTAGATGATTTCATGTTTATATCATGAAATAAATCAATTCAATGAAAATTAGAGCAAATGAAAGTTTCATATAAATCCTAACAAAGAGAAATATATACTTTTGGAGCTGAATCTGCACCACTAGAAATGGCAGATTGGGATTCTTTAAGCATGCTCTGCCACTCCTTCAGTTTTCGAGCCTCGCTGCATCTTAGAATATGCATTTGGAGATTTGTTGCTCTAGTGATATCATCAGTATCAGCCACTTTTCGAGATTGGTTGTAGTGATGAACTGCCTTTTCGGCTTCCCCTAACCTGAAAGTTGAATTGAAGTCTAGGAATTAAGGCTAAAAAGTTGATTTTTTAAGAAAGGCTTTTGAATTGAAGTTAGATACTCAGAGTTATGCTAGTTTAGAATATGATTTCAGATTAATATTATTGTGGAGACTAAACAAAAAGACCTTAGAAAAGGAGATGCCACTCTTTCTATCTCAGCAGGCTAATCAACCTGTATAGGTTGCATTCTTTAAAGTTAAACAATTAGTAGCTCAAATCAGCTTAGAAAGAGTAATGAAAAAGCATTTCATCATTAAAAAAAAAATCAACAAACACTTAATTTTCACAAAAGTAGGTGCACGAAGAACCTCATCATTTTTTATATAAAAGCTTAATTACCTGAGATATAAAGTCGCTAACCGATAATGAGCTCTCGAATATGAAGGATCAATCCTTACTGCCTCCTTACACTCTTTGATAGCTTCAATGAGCCTACCCATTCCAGCAAGTGCTGCCGCCTTATTGTTCCAATAAGAAGCCTTCTCAGGATCAAGCATGATCGCCTTGTTATAGAGAGCTAATGCCTCACTGAGCCTCCCAGCATTGAACTCCTCATTGCCCATCTCCTTCAACTTCTCAGGATCCGTTCTCTTTGACAAAGCCCTGCACAACACCGGTGGTTTTGAGGCCTTCTGTTCTGCTTTGCTCCTCAAAATGTTGCCCATTCCCCCATTGATGCCACTATTCTTTCCCCAGATGTTGCCTAATTGGCCATACACCATTACATTGCTAGAAGAAGCTCGCACCAATTTGCTGTCACCCTTTGCCTTCTGATAGTCATAGATCATCATGTCAAGCTCCCCTGAGAGGCCATTACCAGGCGTGGTAACCTGCTTTCGCTTCTCCGGAGCTGCCGCTGGCTTCGACTTGTGTACCATAAATTGGGAGGCATTTAGATGACTCCTTCGTTGAGGATGGCTGGAGCTCGGTGGACGAGTCTTCGCTGGGGAAGATGGTGTTGCAGGCTTGCGGTTGGGAATTGATTTCTTCGATGAAGACCGATTATGGCGGCCAAAGAGCAAGCTTAGCAAGTTGCAGCCTTTGATCTTCTTCTGGTCACTGCTAACCTCGGTCTTCATCTCCTCCTTCAGTGGTTCTAAGGAGATAGATGGATCCAGAAGGAATTGGCTGCAAAGCTTGGAGCTTTATTGAAGATTTGGAATGCCTCGGCAAAAAGGAGGCGAGAAGAAAGGATTACATTGATCGGGATGGGAAAAATAAGAGAACGTCGTGCGTTCATGAAAAAGGGAAAAAGGAAAAAACCTAAACAAAAAAAACCAAAAAAAAGATCGTTGAAAGAGTAAAACAGCCGATGTATCTTACCAGAAATACCATTGTAAGGGGGAGTCTCAAACAAGCCTCCTTTCTGCCAGCTTGCATAAACTTTATTTTCCAAAATAAAAAATAAAATGCAGGTGGAAGAGATGAGAATATTCGTATAAGCACAGCAAAGGATCACAACTGGTTTTAGTTGTTTTACATAGCTTGGAAAAATGGGGGAGCAAAATACGGAGAGCCGAAGGAGGATGGAGTCGAGAGCTTTTCCCGTCAAGATATTTAAAATTTCGACCGTTGGTTGCCAACCACTTCAACAAGTGAAATAAGACAAAAAATTGGCTCAGGTTTATCCCAATTTGGTTTTGTTTAATAATTCAATTCATTTTAAAATTTTAAAATAAAATGAATCTAATTACTTTTTTAATATATTATATTAATTTCAAAATATAGAAGAAATAGAAGACGAGTCTTCCACTGTTCCATTGAGTTTCTCCTTTTAGCCTAGGTTGTTTGAGTTTTGCAGGTTATTGTGTGCGTCTGCACCAAGTGGTATCAGAGCCATTCCTGGACCAGCACCTATGGCGGAGAGCAGCCGTCGAGCAGCTTCCGATGATGATCGAAGCTTAGATGCCCTTTGGGCGCAGCAGAGTTCAATCCAACACCAACTGGCTGAGTTAGCGTCAGACTTCAAACGATTCTCCATGGAGATGAAGAGGGAACTTCAATCTAGGGACGATCGACACCAAGGGCGACGTCAGACGCCATTGAAAATTCCAGAGAGGAAAATCGAGGAGCACAATCAGAACATCGGCAGGAGAAACCCAACTCCGATTCAAGAACTTTCCGACTCCGACGAAGGCGAAATTCCTTACCAGGTACAAAGGCAATCTGATTCTGACGAAGATGAATATGGATTCCCGCGTGCAGCGGCGAGGGGGCGAATGAGATTTCAGAGACCACAGCCAGAATTTCGCGCTAAACTTGACATTCCATTCTTTGAGGGAAGAATACACATAGAAGATTATTTGGACTGGGAGAGGTCGGTGGAAACATTCTTTGATTACATGGATGTTCCTCCCGAAAAACAAGTTAAATACGTCGCGTGCCGACTCAAAGGGGGAGCCAGCGCATGGTGGATGCAAGTTCAACAAACTCGGTTCCGCAGCGGCAAGGGAAATGTCCGGAGCTGGGCTCGGATGAAGCAAATGTTACGAGCACATTTTCTTCCCACCGATTACGAACAGCTCCTATATGTTCGTTACCAACAGTGTGTTCAAGGTAGTAAAACTGTCAGCGAGTATACTGAAGAGTTCTACCGATTAAGCGCACGAAATAATCTTCAGGAGTCGGAGTCTCAACTGGTGGCTCGCTATACAAGCGGGTTGCGGGAAGTCATACAGGACAAACTGGAGCTTAATTCTGTATGGACATTGTCTCAGGCCATCAATTTTGCACTCAAAGCGGAAGTTCAATTGTCTCGGCAACCGCGGAGTACCAATTATCGACGAACGCTGACAGACCTCGTCGTCGATCCAAAACCCCGCCTACAGGATTCGAAATCTCCGCAACAGAGCCCTCAGGTTTCAATTAATCCCGGTACCTCTGCACCTCAAGATCCAAAAGCAGCCTTGAAGCCGAAAGTACCTGCTCGAGACAATCCATACAGCAGACCATCGACGTTGAAATGTTTTCGTTGTTTTCAAGTGGGTCACAAGTCCAATGAGTGTCCCACTAGGCCACAGATTCAGCTAGTTGAAGGAGAGGCGGAGGAAACAGGGGAATTGCCCGCTGTCGAATTAGAAGCTGAGTTTGAAGATTTAGCAGCTGATGAGGGAGATCAGGTTGTGTGTGTAATGGAACGCCTCCTACTCGCTCCACGACAGCCCTCTGTCTCGCAGCGAAATGCAATCTTTCGGACACGCTGTACCATTAATGGTAAGGTCTGTGACTTGCTCATTGATAATGGATGCACTGAGAACATTGTTTCCAAGGCCCTTGTTCAAGTATTACAGCTTAAAACAACGCGCAATCCCCATCCTTACAAGATCAGCTGGGTAAAGAAAGGAGTGGAGGTGTTAGTTACTGAGATGTGCCGCCTTACATTTTCAGTTGGTAGAAGCTATACGTGCGAAGTGTTATGCGACGTCCTAGAAATGGATGTTTGCCACGTTATATTGGGCCGTCCGTGGCAATTTGACACGGGTGTCATATACGACGGTCGCATGAATACTTATGCTTTTGACTGGAAAGGCCGTAAACTCCGTTTACTGCCTAATACCGCACCTGACAACATACCAAAGGCCAAAGACAAAGCTGCTTTTCATTTAGTCACAGGTGCCATGCTCATGACACAACGGAAAAGGGAGGAAGTATTTGCTATAGTGGTAACTGATACACCACCTACGACAAATGTGTCGCCCCCGCCCCAGGCTATCACCGAATTGTTACTACAGTTCGCAGATATCATGCCGGATGAGCTCCCTGCGGGCCTTCCCCAAACTCGGCCAATTCAGCACCAAATCGACTTAATTCCAGGCGCCAACCTCCCTAACTTACCTCATTATAAGATGAGCCCGCGCGAGCATGATATACTGCAAGAAAGGGTTGAGGAACTACTTCGCAAACAGCTTATACAACCCAGTTTGAGCCCCTGTGCCGTTCCAGCCTTACTGGTCCCCAAGAAAGATAATCAGTGGCGGATGTGTATCGACAGTCGGGCGATCAACAAAATTACCACTAAATTCCGCTTTCCAGTACCTCGATTGGAAGACTTACTAGACAAGCTTGCTGGCGCCAGCTATTTTTCCAAACTGGATCTTCGTAGCGGCTATCATCAAATACGTATTCGCCCTGGAGACGAATGGAAGACGGCATTCAAGACTAGCCGAGGGTTGTATGAGTGGCGTGTGATGCCATTTGGATTATGCAATGCGCCTGCCACATTCATGCGCCTGATGAATGAGGTACTTAAAGATTTCATTAACAACTTTTGTGTTGTTTATTTCGATGACATTTTGGTGTATAGTACGTCCCTGGAGGATCATACACAACATCTTTGTTCTATCTTCCAAGCTCTGCGGAGACATCAGCTATTTCTGAATCATGCCAAATGCGAATTTGCTACAAGTACCGTCTACTTTCTGGGTTTCATTATCTCTGCAGCTGGCATCACGACTGATCCCAGAAAAGTTGCCGCAATTGTTGATTGGCCTCCACCTCGTTCACTGTTCGATGTCAGGAGCTTCCATGGCCTAGCAAATTTTTATCGCCGCTTCATTCGTGGGTTCAGCATACTTATGGCCCCCTTAACCGATTGTCTCAAGGCAAAGCAATTTTCGTGGGATGACGAGAAGCAAAGAAGCTGGGAATCAATTAAACAGGCACTGTCATCAGCGCCCGTTTTGGCCTTGCCTAATTTTGAGCTACCATTTCAAGTAGATTCTGATGCTTCAATGATCGGCATTGGTGCTGTTTTATCACAAGCCGATAAGCCTATTGAGTTTTTCAGCGAAAAACTCACGCCACCGAGACAAAAATGGACTGTTTACGAACAAGAATTATATGCTGTCATTCGAGCACTTAAGCATTGGGAGCATTATCTTTTGCACAAGGACTTCGTCTTATGCAGTGATCATCGAGCTCTCCAGTTCATAAATACGCAAAAGACTCTCAACCGGATGCATGCCCGTTGGGTTCTATTCCTTCAGAAATTTACTTTTGTTCTTAAACATAAGTCTGGAGCTCAAAATCGCGTGGCTGACGCACTTAGTAGACGCACGGCTTTACTCACTCAGCTTCAAACTGAAATTACTGGATTAGATTGTTTAAAGGATCTGTATGCTACGGACCCTGATTTTGAACACATCTGGAAGGATTGTTCTGGAGGTCAAGCTCACGGCGAGTATACTCTTCGTCATGGATACTTATTCAAAGGCAATGCTCTTTGCATTCCCAGCTCGTCATGGCGCCATCAGTTAATCCTTGAAGCACACAGTGGGGGTTTAGCAGCTCATTTGGGCCGCGATAAAACCTTTCAGCAACTCCAGGAGAAGTTTTTTTGGCCCAAATTACATCGCGATGTCGCGCGCCTAGTGGAACGTTGTTCCGTCTGTCAAGAGTATAAAGGTACTATGCAGAATACAGGATTATATACACCTCTTCCAGTTCCTGAAACAATTTGGGAGGATATCAGTATTGACTTCGTTCTCGGCCTCCCGAGGACGAAACGAGGATCTGATTCCATAATGGTTGTCGTAGACCGCCTCTCCAAAATGGCCCATTTTGTAGCTTGTAAAAAGACGCTCGACGCTGTCAATGTTGCTCGACTGTTCTTCCACGAGATTGTGCGTCTCCACGGCCTTCCTCGCAGTATAACTTCGGACCGCGATGTCAAATTTATCAGTCATTTCTGGCGCGAATTATGGAAGCGGTTACACACAGCCATTAATTTAAGCTCAGCCTACCACCCTCAATCGGACGGTCAAACAGAGGTCGTTAATCGCACATTGGGGAACATGTTACGATGTCTCGTACAGAGTCATCCAAAACAGTGGGAAGAATTCTTAGGCCAAGCAGAATTTGCATACAATTCAATGTGCAATAGGTCGACGGGCAAGTCTCCATTCAGCATTGTGTATACCAAATCCCCCAATCATTTGTTTGACATCGCCGTCTTACCCAAGTGTTCGGACAAGACAGCCACACATCTTCTGGAGCAGTATTCTGATGTTATTCAGCAAGTCCGGAACAAACTCATTACTTCTAATGCAACTTATAAACAGGCGGCAGACGTTCATAGACGAGCTAAAATCTTCAATCCTGGTGATCTTGTCATGGTTCGTATGCGGAAGGAGCGCTTCCCGGCTGGTACGTACTCCAAACTTAGCCCTCGTAAAC